CGTTCGTAATGAAACTTCCGGTAAAGAAATAAACAAGCTGAACATTTTTTCCCTTTCCTCATTGTCACTCCTAAAAAGAAAATTGATATTTTGGGGGCTACACCCACATTGGCACGAGTAAAATAATCAGGGAACAAACAATGTGACATGGACTTCTTGTCAATGACTTGCAAGATTAATATGTCATCCACTACAAAATAACAGCTGCACAGATTAAAAAAAAAAATGTTTTTTTGGCTTTGTAAATTGTAGACTCGAAAATAAATATCACATTTTAAACCTTGCCACGAGGCAATTCTTAACATACTACTCTCGTTAGCCTTTACAGCTGTATGAGTTTATACAGTTGAAAGGGATCTAAATGGTAATGCTCAGTTGCGAGACCAACCGTTTCCATACAAGTAACATTCAACATTCATTGACTGAACATAATTCTGTTAACACAGTGATTCACAACCGCCGTGCCTCGGCACATTAATGTGCCACGCGATCGTCTTAGGTGTGCCGCAAAATAGTGTCTCGACGAAAACATTGACTATTATTTTCCGTCACTGAGCACAGAAAAGTATGTTTGGATCCGAAATCCCTTCATAAATGTCTCTTCAAATATTGGACTTCAGTTATGTGAAGAAGAAGACTTGACCACCATTTCTAGTGATCGAGGGCTCAAAATAAAATATTCGACGGTACCCTTTGATATATTTTGAATGCCAATACAACGTTTCGTCCACTGCAAGGAAAGTTGGCTCCCTGTGCCGCACCAGGAAATTTTTCTCCCCGAAATCGATCCTTCAAATCTACAAATCAACCATTCACCCTTACATGGAGTATTACTGCCATATATGGTCTGGAGCCCCTTCTGTTTGCCTCGGGGTTCTTGATAAGATCCAGAGACGGATATGCAATGTAATTGGCCTTGTTCTGGCATCTCGTCTACAGTCGCTCTCCCACAGACGTGTCGTCGCCTCCCTCTGTCTTTTTTACAAATACTTTCAGGGTAATTGCTCCGATGAGCTGCTTTCACTGGTTCCCAGACTGCATGAATTCAAGCGCCCTACGAGGCTGGCATCCCGCTCCCACTCTTACACTGTAGAAACTTTTAAATGTAGACGTCTCTTCTACTCCAATAGCTTCATACCTCGCACCTCTCGTCTGTGGAACACCCTTCCCAATTACTGTTTCCCTGACAGCTATAATCTCCAACTATTCAAATGTAATGTCAATCGACATCTCCAGTTGCCTTGATCTATCCACTATCCTTCTCCTCATCCTTTCCTCTATCATTACTACCTGCTCTCGCTCCAGATCCTCTATAACCCCTTGCATGTTAGTGGCTTCCCACCTTGCTAGGGGTGAAAAGCTTAAAAAAAAAAAAAAAGAAGGAATATCCCACATTAGCTAAAACGAGTTTATCAGTTTAATTGTAATTTTCTACTTCTTATTTATGTGAATTGGGCTCCTTAACCCTAAATAGCATCAAAGATAAGAAGCGGGAAAGACTATTAAATAAGCGGCACAAATAGTTGAATAGAAACATTGAAATAAACTAAGTTCATATCTGTGTGCATCTTTTTTAAAATCTATGGTTTTATTTTTATTTCATAACATTTAAATGTATCCCCTTTAAAACTTTTGCTAAGTGTGCCGGGATATTTTCATTTGCTCCGAGATGTGCCATTGCTTAAAAAAATTGAGAAACACTGAGTTAACCGCATTTTGCACCGCCGCTCTGGTCACCACTCCCCTCCACCTCCCAATTGTTGTTCATGCTGACATTCACGTCACAATAATGCAATGGTTTGCCAGTTCTTTTTGCACCGGGGATGTTGAGATTATCCTCGTCCCTCCTCTCAGCAGTTAAAGAGGCAGGACCTACAAGGCAGTAGGTGGTTCGAATTCAGTTTTCCTTCTCCTAAACTAGTTGCCAACCAAGGATATAAGGCTCAGTCTGTCCTGCTATTTACCCATAGTTTGGAAGAAGAAAGGGATTCATACCTTTCCCAAGGGTATAAGCACGTGAAAGTAATGAACTCAACTGGAATTCGAACTCGGCTTTCCAATTTCTCAACCCAGTCTGTCCTACTATTTATCCATAGCTGGGGGGAGAAGAGATGAATTCATACTTTTCCTCGGCGTATTAGCACGTAAGTGAATGCAATGAACTCAAATGGAATTCAAACTCGGCTCTTCGATTCAATCCGAGCTGCTATCCATTTTGATGGAAGACTTGGCTTCATTGTCAGTTGAAACTTATAAAATCTTTCTCTTCAAACAGTTTTTTTCCAAGAAAAAAGACTTCTCGACCACTGCTATAGTTCATTCTAATATAGACGGTAGTATAGGAAAAAACATCGTTTTGAACACAATTACATACCCACATATATACCATACTAAAACACCCTCAAAGTTTATTTTCTACCCAATAAGAGATAATATTTACAAACATGCGAAAAATATTCCACACTGTAACACCCACTGTCTAAGTGTATTGATTAGAAATTAACATGACCATGTAAAATATTTGACCAATCAGAGAAAACGAAAACTCCATTTTTCATGAGCCTACTTTTGGGAAGAAATTCTTCTAAAAATTCACAAATTTCGATTTCAGCAGCAGACATGTGACTGCTTCCAAAGTGTTCAAACGCAAGAGAAGACGTAGCTACATAGCCCCCAACCTCGCCAACAGCGCGTCCTATATGAACATATGTCGGCGACTTCAAACGAATTATCTCCAACAGCAACAGTTCGGACGGTCAGTGAATATTCGTTGACGATCATATCTTTATCTAATCCCTAGATGTTTCTGTGGGTCAACTACCCAAAGACAACTTTTACTCCTTTTTGAATTCATGTACATATGACTGTAAATACAAATGATTTATTTAACAGACATACACATGTCTTATTTATTTTAATTTTATTATTGTTTGAAATTCGGACGTTCGAATTTTTAATATAAACATTGCCTGGACAACAGAAATTCCTACAATAGTATCCTTCCAAACATTTGTTTGGTATTTCGGAAAGTCAACATATTAATCATATCTTTGTTTTCGCTTCTATGCAATATGATAATGACAATGATGAGAATAGCCGTTTCCATACAGGAAATCTACGGTCAAATCATAGTGAAAACACCGGTTCTCGTTCGATCACCACAGTTAAGTAGCGTCAGCTCCGGTCAGTAATAAGATGGAGGACCTCTTGGGATTTGAAGGTACAAAAATTAACCAACCATACAACCCGAAATGTGTTTCAGCTTTAAATAACACACAAAGGGTTGATAAACCGTAAAAAGACAAAATTCCTTAATCATCGTGCCTGCCAAAAAATAGCGTATCAAAAGGACGTTTTTCCCTTGACACCGCTATTATCTTAACTCCGCGGCAATATTTATCGTTTTAAAAACGATGATTAGAATTGTAATAAAACCTAAACATATGAAAATAAATTGGATACATTTTCTTTGTTCTTGAGAATTGACAACAAAAATAATAAACACTATTTATTTATTAGATTGCTTATTTACACTATTTATTTATTGTTTATTGGAATGGTTGGTAAAACTTTGGCTAATTGCCAATCGATTCAAACTTTATAAAATTATAAATAATAAGAATTTCCTTATAGTTGGTTCACATATTTAAATTATTTATTAAATGTTTATTAATTTATGAATAAAAATTGTTTTTATATTAATTTCTATAAATTGCTAAATGATAAATATTGCATTGTATTAGTTTTAATAAAATTGCATTGGCTTTTTAGAATGTTGTAAATATAAAAGTATTCTTGTAAATAAGCAATCTAATAAATAAATAGTGTTTAATATTTTTTTGTTGCAAATTCTCAAGAACAAAGAAAATGTATAAATTCACTTTCATCATATATCTGTTTAGGTTTTATTAAAATTCTACTCCTTGCTTTTTAAAACAATAAACATGGCGTGGGATAAAGGTAGTTAAATAATAGCGGTGTCAAGGGAACAACCGTACTTTTGACACTCTGGGGTTTTTTGTGGACCCGAAGGTTAAAAAGTTGCCAAGAAATCAATCAACAATCGGATCTAGATTGAATTTAGCTATTATGGTTGAATTTTTATTTAAAAAAAACAAAAATGGTTATTTAAGAGTTCAAACAGAGATAGGGAAAGGAGGGCAAGAGAGATAGAGAGAGGAGGGCAAGAGAGATAGGGAAAGGAGGGCAGGAGAGATAGGGAAAGGAGGGCAAGAGAGATAGAGAGAGGAGGGCAAGAGAGATAGGGAAAGGAGGGCAAGAGAGATAGAGAGAGGAAAAAAAGACATGGAGGAAAGGAGGGGAAAAAGAGAGATAGAGAGAGGAGGGCAAGAGAGATAGGGAAAGGAGGGCAAGAGAGATAGAGAGAGGAGGGCAAGAGAGATAGGGAAAGGAGGGCAAGAGAGATAGAGAGAGGAGGGCAAGAGAGATAGGGAAAGGAGGGCAAGAGAGAGAGGAGGGCAAGAGAGATAGAGAGAGGAGGGCAAGAGAGATAGGGAAAGGAGATAAGAGAGATGGGGAAAACCCTAGGGCAAGAGAGATAGAGAGGAGGGAAAGAGAGATAAAGGGAATGTAGGGCAAGAGAGAGATAGATCATGGAGGGAAGAGAGATAGAGAGAGAGAGGGCAAGAGAGATAGGGAAAATGGAGGGAAAGAGAGATAGAGAGAGATAGAAAAGAGAGAAAAAAAAAAAGGAAAAAAAGAGAGATATTAAGAGATAGGCAAAAGAGAAACAAAAGGAGAGAAGAGAGAGTTAGAAAAAGGGCAAAGAGAGAAAAATTTGTTTCAAAAAGAGATTAAAGAGATAAGGGCAAGAGAGATAAAGGAAAGAGAGGCTTAAAAAAATATTTAGAGAGAGAGGGCAAGAGAGATAGGGAAAGGAGGGCAAGAGAGATCAGAGAGAGGTGGGCAAGAGAGATAGGGAAAGGAGGGAAAAAGAGAGAAAGGGAGATAAGAGAGGGCAAGAGAGAGAGAGAGAGGAGTTAAGAGAGAGAGGGAAAAGAGAGAAAAAGAGAGATAGGGAAATAAAGGGCAAGAGAGAGAAAGAAAGAGGGCAAAGAGAGAGAGAGAGGGCAAGAGAGAAAGGGAAAGGAGGGCAAGAGAGATAAAGAGAGGAGGGCAAGAGAGATTTGGAAAGGAGGGAAAGAGATAGATAGAGGGGAAGAGAGAGAGGGAAAGGTGGGCAAGAGAAAGATAGAGAGAAGGAGGGCAAAGAGAGATGGGGAAAAGGAGGGCAAGAGAGATAGAGAGAGAGGAAAGAGAGATGGGGAAAGAGATAAGAGAGATAGAGAGGAGAGCAAAGAGAGAGAGAGAGAGGGCAAAGAGATAGAGAGAGGAGGGCAAGAGAGATAGGGAAAGAGGGCAAAGAGATAGAGAGAGAAATTAGAAAAAGAGAGATAGGGAAAGGAGGGAAAGAGAGATAAAGGGAAAGGAGGGCAAGAGAGACAGAGAGAGAGGAGAGTGGCCTTTAGAGATAGGGAAAGGAGGGCAAGAGAGAGAGAGAAAGAGGGGGGAAAGAGAGAGAGAAAAATGGAGGGCAAGAGAGAGAGAGAGAGAGGGCAAGAGAGATGGAGAAAAGGAAATGGGAGAGAGAGAGAGAGAGGAAAAAAGAGAGAAGAGGCAGAGAGAAGGGAAAGGAGGGCAAGAGAGATGAGAGAGAGATCATGAAAAGAGAGATAGAGAGAGGAGGGCAAGAGAGAGGAAAGGAGGGCAAGAGAGATAGAGAGAGAGATTTAGAGAGACCTGTTTTTTTAGGGGGCAAAAGAGAGAGGAGGGCAAGAGAGAAAAAGAGAGGGAGGGCAAGAGAGTTAGAGAGAGAGGGCAAGAGAGATAGGGAAAGGAGGGCATAGAGAGAGAGAGAAAAGGAAAAAGAGAGAGAGAGAGAAATTCAGAAGAGATAAAGAAAGGAGGGCAAGAGAGATGGGGAAAGGAGGGCAAGAGAGAGAGAGAGAGGAGGGCAAGAGAGAGAGACAGGGAAAGAGAGATAGGGAAAGGAGGGCAAGAGAGAGAGAGAGGAGAGCAAGAGAGAGAGGGAAAGAGGGCAAGAGAAAGAGTAGAGAGATTTTCATAAGAGAGATAGGGGAAAGAGAGATAAAGAGAGAAAGAGAGAGAGAGCAAAGAGAGAAAAGAAAGGAGAGAAAGAGAGAAAGAGGAAAAGAGAAGGGAAATTAGGGCAAGAGAGAGAGAGAGAGGAGGGAAAGAGAGATAAAGAGAGGAGGGCAAGAGAGATAGGGAAAGAAAGAGAAGAGAGAAAGAGAGAGGCAAGAGAGATAGGGAAAGGAGGAGAAGAGAGATAGAGAGAGAGAATAGAGAGAGAGAGAGAGAAAGAGAAGGGAGATAAGAGAGAGAGAGAGAGAGAGAAAAAGAGAAAAAAAGGAGGGAAGAGAGATAGAGAGAGAGACCAGAAGAGAGATAGGGAAAAGGAGGGCAAGAGGATAGAGAGAGGAGGGCAAGAGAGATAGGGAAAGGAGGGAAAGAGAGATAGGGAAAAGGAGGGCAAGAGAGATAGAGAAAGGAGGGAAGAGAGAGATAGGGAAAGGAGGGCAAGAGAGAGAGAGAAAAGGAGGGCAAGAGAGATAGGGAAAGGATAAAGAGAGAGAGAGAGAGAGGAGCAAGAGAGATAGGGAAAGGAGGGCAAGAGAGAAGAGAGAGGGGGGCAAGAGAGATAGGGAAAGGAGGGCAAGAGAAAAGAGAGAGGAGGGCAAGAGAGATGGGGAAAGGAGGGCAAGAGAGATAGAGAGAGAGAGAGGCAAAGAGAGATGGAAATAGGGCAAGAGAGAGAGAGAGAGAGGGCAAGAGAGAGAGAGAGGAGGGCAAGAGAGAGAGAGAAAGAGAGGGCAAGAGAGATAGGGAAAGTGAGAGGGCAAGAGAGATAGAGAGAGGAGGGCAAGAGAGATAGGGAAAGGAGGGCAAGAGAGAAAGGGAAAGGAGGGCAAGAGAGAGAGAAAGAGAAAATTTGAGAGATAGGGAAAGAGAGGCAAAGAGAGATAGGGAAAGGGGGGAAAAGAGAGATAGGGAAATGAGGGCAAGAGAGATAGAGAGAGGAGGATAAGAGAGATGGGGAAAGGAGGGCAAGAGAGATAGAGAGAGGAAAAAAGAGAGAGGAGGGAAAGAGAGAGAAGGAAAAAGGGAGGGCAAGAGAGAGAGAGAGAGGAGGGCAAGAGAGATAGAGAGAGGAGGGCAAAGAGATAGAGAGGAGGGCAAGAGAGATAGAGAGGCAAGAGAGAGATAGGAAAGGAGGGCAAAGAGAGAAAGAGTGGAGGGCAGCAAGAGATAGGGAAAGGAGGGCAAGAGAAATAGAGAGAGAGGGAAGAGAGATGGGGAAAGGAGGGCAAGAGAGAGAGAGAGAAAAGAGAGAGATGGGGAAAACTGAGATCAAAATGAAAGAGAGAAAGAGAGGAGGAGAGAAAAAAAAAAACAAGGGCAAGAGAGATAGAGAGAGAGAGGGCAAGAGAGATAGAGAGAGGAGGGCAAGAGAGATAGGGAAAGGGAAAAAGAGAGAGAGAGAGAAAGAAGAGAGGGAAAAGAGAGACAACTGAAGAGGGCAAGAGAGAGAAAGGGAAAGGAGGGCAAGAGAGATAGAGAGAGGAGGGCATTAAGAGAGATAAAGGGAAAAGGGGAAAGAGAGATAGATAAAGGAGGGAAAGAGAGATAGAGAGAGGAGGGAAAGAGAGTTTTAAAAGGAGATAAAGAGAGATAGAGAGAGGTAAAAGAGAGAGGAGGGGAAGAGAGACAGGGAAAGGAGGGCAAGAGAGATAATTAGAGGAGGGCAAAGAGATAGGGAAAGGAGGGCAAGAGAAAATAGAGAGAGGAGCAAGAGAGATGGGGAAAGGATACTAAAGAGAGATAGAGAGAGGAGGGCAAGAGAGATGGGGAAAGGACGAAAAGAGAGATAGAGAGGAGGGCAAGAGAGATAGGGAAAAGAGGGCAAGAGAGAAAGAGAGATAGAGAGATGAAATAAAGAGAGAGAGAGAGAGGAGGGCAAGAGAGATAGGGAAAGGAGGCCAAGAGAGATAGAGAGAGGAGGGCAAGAGAGAGAAGGAAAGGAGGGCAAGAGAGAGAGAGAGAGGAGGGCAAGAGAGATAGGCAACAGCAACGAATCACCTACCTGACGAGATTTTTGTGAATAGATGGAGGGTGGAGGGCGGAGGCTTGGCAAAGGAGAAACACTGCTTTGGGTCACAAATTATAGGATGTTGTGGAGAACCATGATCGCCCACACCTTGAAGGGATAGGGAAATGAGGGCAAGAGAGATAGAGAGAGGAGGGCAAGAGAGATGGGGAAAGGAGGGCAAGAGAGAGAGAGAGAGGAGGGCAAAGAGAGAGGAGGGAAAAGAGAGATAGGGAAATTTTTAAAGAGAGAGAGAGAGAGGGGGCAAGAGAGAGAGAGAGGAGGGCAAGAGAGAGAGAGGAGGGCAAGAGAGAGGAGGGCAAGAGAGAGAGGGAAAAGGGAGGCAAGAGAGATAAAGAGTGGAGGGCAAGAGAGATAGGGAAAGGGAGGGCAAGAGAAATAGAAAGAGAGGAGGGCAAAGAGAGATGGGGAAAGGAGGAAAAGAAAGAGAGAGAGAGGGAGAAAAGAGAGAAGGGGAAAAGGAGGGCAAGAGAGATAGAGAGAGAGGGCAAGAGAGAGAGGGAAAAAAGGGCAAGAGAGAGAGAGAAGAGAGGCAAGAGAGAGAGAGAGAGAGGAGGGCAAAGAGATAGGGAAAGAGAGGGCAAGAGAGAGAGAGAGAGGAGGCAAGAGAGAAAGGAAAAGGAGGGCAAGAGAGATAGGGAAAGGAGGGCAAAGAGAGAGAGAGAGAGAGAGGGCAAGAGAGATAGGGAAAGTTTTAAAAGAGAGATAGGGAAAGGAGGGAGAGAGAGAGAGAGAGAAAAGAGGGCAAGAGAGATGGGGAAAGGAGGGCAAGAGAGATAGAGAGAGGAGGGCAAGAGAGAGGAGGAAGAGAGATAGGGAAAGGAGGGCAAGAGAGATAAAGAGAGGAGGGCAAGAGAGATAGGGAAAGGAGGGCAAGAGAAATAGAGAGAGGAGGGCAAGAGAGATGGGGAAAGGAGGGCAAGAGAGATAGAGAGAGGAGGGCAAGAGAGATGGGGAAAGGAGGGCAAGAGAGATAGAGAGGAGGGCAAGAGAGATAGGGAAAGTAGGGCAAGAGAGATAGAGAGAGGAGGGCAAGAGAGATAGAGAGAGGAGGGCAAGAGAGATAGGGAAAGGAGGCCAAGAGAGATAGAGAGAGGAGGGCAAGAGAGATAAGGAAAGGAGGGCAAGAGAGATAGAGAGAGGAGGGCAAGAGAGATAGGCAACAGCAACGAATCACCTACCTGACGAGATTTTGTGAATAGATGGCGGGTGGAGGGCGGAGGCTTGGCAAAGGGAGAAACACTGCTTTGGGTCACAAATTATAGGATGTTGTGGAGAACCATGATCGCCCACACCTTGAAGGGATACAGAAGATATTGAAGTAGTGCGTATTATTGTTAATATAATAAGGGGTTATCTTAAATATTGTTATTTATTTTTAAAAAAAAAAGCTTTATACTAATTATTCTTAAATATTGTTTTTCCTTTTTATTTTGTGTGCGTGTTTTTTTTTTTTGGGGGGGGTCTGAAACCAGAACAAAATAAATGACTGTAATTACAATCTTCTATAGAATAAATGCGAATGTCAGTGTGTCAGTGTGTCACACAATTTCAACTTTACTCCTAAAGGCCATATCCCAACCAATTATACCATTTTCGAATCAGGACAACACCGTGAGCAAATATAAAAACATTCCGGGTCGGATGATCCAGACCCTCAATCCTGAAATTCTGGATTCCCAAGTTTTCATTACTGCGATTCTTATCGGCCATTTTTACATGATATTTTTTACGACGCGTCTTTGTTTGTACGATAGCAATTTTTATAACTTGGAAATAAATTTGGGAATAATCAAAATCAATTGCGAAAGTCATCCATGAAATAAAAATAATTGTTTGTACGGAAAGTAAGGACCTACGTACATCAAATTGCCTTTAAATTAAGTGGCAGCAGAAGAATTATCATTAAACTTTTAAACGGTGAGCTTAAATATTAATGCAAAATTTAAATGCAGCGATCAGTTTTATGTTTTGTGATTTATTGTTGCCTATTGAATCTACTCCTTCCTATCTATTGTGATGAAGGCTCAACCAAGAGACCTCCCGACATTTGTTTTAGTCAATTTATTATTGAATAAAACAGGTCGGTTTTGGAACCGTGATATTACAGTCAGTTAGAAAGCTGGGGTTTGACATGATAAATAATAACACAAAACATTCTTTCCAAATCGTTACTATTTCTTTGATGAAACGAGTTTGAAAGATTACCTTTAGGTTCAAAATCTTAACGTTGGAATTTGATTCCGATGATCACTAAAAGTCTTATAGCACGGCCTTATAAAATTCATAACTTCCTGTGGATTTACAAATTGTATATGGACAAGACGCACAGCACAAGCACATTATTACTAAATCATTGTGTCATTAAGTAAGAACTTCATTTACTACAAACGGAAATTATAGTGAACAATTTAGCTATATTATGATGTAATATGTTATAGAGTTAACACCACTTACTCCCTGAAACCGCTTCTAGGAGACGCTCTCCGGTACTATAAATACTCTGCGATAATTTTTTGCAGTCTCTTTTTACTTTTTTCGCTTACACGTCAACATCGTGGGAAAACGCGTTTCTCAGTGGGGAACCCATGAACAAACCACACACACACAACACACGTACATACGCACTTTCACTCACTTCACATCCTTTGAACTTTAAATGTTTTCACATTCCTTTTTTTACACCCATAATTGTGTCACTTGTATACCTTTCTTGTCAAAACATTATCATTTGTTTGGTTCTTTTGTTTCTTGGTATTTTAACATGGCGGACGCACATGCAAATCCTCCATTTTTGTTGTGGGTATTCCAGGAGACACGTGATTTTCCTAATTTAAGCACACAACATACTACTTCCCGTAACAAGTTGGTGACCCCGACGTGATCATTTCATTATTTTTCTCCTGACAACAAGAAACACACAAGGCTATAAATGTGCAGGCTCAAAAATACATTTACACACCTTTTTCAAACCGAAAGCCAATCAAGAAAACATCCACAAACTTCTCTTCCTACCCTACCACGCCCGGCGGACACTATAAACGTATAGTAAAACAATTTACAGAGCTACAAAATTTGTGATTAGACCCTATGAAAGAGCAAAATCGCAAATTTCAAACACAACGACATATCCACGCAACGCATGATGTTTTCCGACTCAGCAAATAGATTTTTTTTTGCAACATGTGTCACCCCCAAATAATTTCTAATCGCCTTTCAATTTCTACAGTGGTCCGTCAGTAGGCAAACAACACACATCTCATCCCTACTTTTATTTTTCTTGGCCCTTTTCTTCTCTCAGGCACCATTGATCTCAACCGGCGAACACTTCGAAAAATCTTTTTTCCGACAAACGAAAATACAACTCCATTTCAACTTTAATCAACACTGTTTCTACTGGGATAATCAGATAAAGTGTGACATATCTGAAAAGGCGATTAACTGTCCTTTTTTTTCATTCTGCGACGATGTCACTCGAACCACACCAAGAATCTGAAAGTACGATATAAAAAATCGACAATAATAGCAAATTACATAAAGTTCTCAAACATGCATTCGACACTCGGTAGAAATTTTACATCAGCTCAACTTTGCGTCTTATGTAAAATTTTGTGCTTTAACATCATCCATGCATAACAAAGAAACGAGGACTTTCCAAAGAAAAATCTTTCCAACGAAAAAGAATGAATACAACAGACGACAAAACGTGGAGCATTGGAAAAAGACAAAATTTTAATAGCAAACGCTGAACAATCTACACTAGCGACGTATCTTCCAGGACGTGTTACGACTCTGACCAGCTAAAGAAAATAACACGGCACCCTAATAACAGCACAAGCACATTTTCATCGACATGTTTAAACCCGCATCTTACCACATTTCCGACATGTAAGTCTCTCGCGAGAAAACGTGTTTCCCATTGAGGAACGCATGAACCAAACCACACGCACACACACACATACACACACCACAAGTAGGTACACACTTTCACTCACTTCACATCCTTTGAGATTTAAATGTTTTCTGTTTTCACATTCCTTTTTTTTTTACACGCATAATTGTCTGCCACGTGTAGCATACCCCGTTCTTGTTTATATATTATCATTTGTTTGTACATATATATTGGTTCTGGTTGTTTCTTAGTATTTTAACATGGCGGAGACACGTGTTTTTTCCAACTCAAACACACAACATATTACTGCCCGCAACAGAGTGCTTGAGTCTTAATGTGATTTTCTATACACAATACAAATTTAAAACATTTTGTTTATGCCCAGCAGTATTATGGTTTTATATACACTTTATCTTTTTTTTTTTTTTTATTAATTACTAGCAGTAGAGCCCGGCGTTGCCCGGTGATATAACAGTAAGAGATAGATCAAGTATCATAAAGACTGAAAAACAAAATTGACAAAGATTATTGTTTAAGGTTGACGGACACGCATGTCTTAATTAGGTTTTTTTTTTTTGTTTTTTTACGAATTGGTCAAACCCAAACTCAAACAAAAACATTGTTTTCAATCGTTATGAGTCTCTATCGATTGAATAGAATTTTCTTATAAACAATTGTCTTGTAAATGGAATTTTGAAAGCATTCTGAATGTTAAAATTAAAGAAAAAAGTGTGCAAGACAATAAGAAACACTACCTGCCAAAAAAAAAGCGAAGTTTTGTTGAAATCGGTTGAAAAATGTAGGAAATCCGATGTCATATATAAAGGAACACACGCGCACACACACACAACCTGGGTTTTATAATAAGTATAACTCGATATGAGTTGCCCCCCTTTCATTCTCATGATGCCTCTTAATCGTGTTTTCAAATTGATTTCTTGCAAAAACAATTGTGTTTTTCCAATTTTTGGCGCTGTCAGAACCACCGCAAGGTAATTTTACGTAGTCCTGTGAAGTTTTGTTGAAATCAGTTGAAAAATGTAGGAAATCCGATCCAATATATAAACGTACAGACAGACAGACACACACACACACACAACCTGGGTTTTATAATAAGTAAGATGATGTAACAAATGATCAGTGAGTTGCCTTTTTTAGAATCTTGTTCAGTTTTTTTTTTCTCATTCCATCAAATAGATTTTAAAATTATGATTCAAGATTTTGCAGAGATGAAGGCTAAAAAATTAACTTTTAAAATTACATTTTATTTTATTTATTTAATTATTTTTGTTCGCAACCAAAATAAAATAAATGGCCGTAAGTATAAACTTTCTTTATATTTTATTTTTGTAGATGTTGTCCAAATATAGGATGTTCTTTAGAGGGACGGCAAATTCTTGTGGGTAGCACAAATGCTAGGCATGCTGCTGCTAGTATTATATTTGGCCTTGTCAGTGACTCGGATTGAGGAATCAGAGAGCCGAGTTCAAATTCCAGTCGAATCCACTTACATGGAAAAGGTACGAATCCTCTTCTTCTCTCCCCAACTATGGGTAAATAGCAGGACATACTGGTTTCTATAGCCTTGGATGGCAACTGGATGGCAGAAAGAAATGGCAATCTACTACGGGAAAAAAATCTGCCTCGTCAGTATCGAAAGATACATGATCGTCTAAGCGTGTATCACGCATGATTCATAACTGATGACTTATATGTTTGAAACATATGAATTCAGTTTTCGCCTGCTTGGGGCGAAATAATTAAAAAATAAATAAATAAAGACAAAATAAAACAAGTAGTCTTACTATATAATGCTCTTGTCTTTTGTAATATTTGTAATGCATATGAGTGAGAAATGGAAATAGCTCAATTCCGGCTTGTGTTCACTTTCTCACTAATATTTTCTTTAATCCACCTCGCCAACGGTTTTTCTAGCGTGCGCATATACCAGGCACAATGTTGATCACAGGTGGTCACCTCTATGGATCACCACTGAGAAAGAGTGAATCGCATGATCAAACCCTACGCCTGGCTTCCTTAGTCTGGTGTGAAATGAAGTGCAAATTCTGATCAGGCATAACACTACAGCAATTCACCGATAATAAAGAAACGGAGTCGTAATCGGCCCTGAAAACAAATAGCATTACAAAAAATATTTTTAATAATGGTCTATCTCCCCGACAAAAGAAGCACAAAATCTCTTGCGTCATAGACAGACATGTAGATTATCCAAGTGCCTTAAGCCTGATTAAATGTCAATAGGTGTGCGTAAAAAAACAACATCTGTATAATTGACTGAGGCACACATAAAAGCCGGCAGATTTTGTCTTTTGATAGGAATCAGCTACAAACGGTGAGGAATAGGTTTGAACGAGTCAGCTGTTGTTCAAGAACAAAGACGTTGACAGTGATCAATGGGAAACAGATTACTACAAATACATTACTACATATAAAGTAAGTCATATTTCATTTATAGCAGCGAAATTCATAGTTTTAATAAAATAAGTAATAATAGTTTAATTTATTTAATCTTATTAAGATGACGGCCACATCGCGTTGAAACACCGGTTCCAGTATGATTACCGAAGTTAAGCAACGTCGAGACTGGTCAGTACCTAGATGGGTGACCATTTGTGTATATCTGGTGCTCTAAGTTTCGATGTGCGTGTGGTGTAATGGATAGTGGCTCGAAATTGTTAATCAGAGTGCCGAGTTCCAATTCCCATTGGGTTCACATACACACAAATAGCTTTAGTAAAGTTATGAATCCACCTCTTCTCCCTCCAGCTATGGGTTAATTAATAAGACTTTTATCACTAAACCATGTACTCAAAAAATTCTCACAATATAAAAATATTTTCTGGCTTTAAATAACCTGTAATGGGTTGATAACATTATTATTTCGTTTGTTTATCAAATTCTGATTAAGCATGAATCTACATATTCTACCCCCATCTATGGGTTAATTAGTAAGACTTGTATCGCGAAACCATTATTATCTAAAAAAAATAAATTTTTACAATGTAAAAATATTTTTTTTGCCTTTAAATAACCTGCAGGGTTGATAATCCGTAGAAAACGAATCAATTTGATGAATGAATTGAGTAATATTTTAAGAAACCAAATGTTAAGGTCTTTTTTAATGTTTAGTTTTTATTTTTTAATATTTTTTTTTATTTTATTAAACTACTTTATGAGAATTGAATAAAACATATTTTGTTGTAAATTATTTTTTTTACATTATAACTAAAATTAAAATTATTTATTTTATTGTAGTAGAAAATATTTATCGTTTTTTTTTTTCCTTATTAATTTTTTTTTTTTCATTCATTTCATTTTGGTACAATAGCGCACACACTAAGGATCGAACTCGCTACTGTTAAATTCAAAATTAGTAGTAATTTAAATTTACTCACCACATTTGGTAAAAATCACGAGACGTTAAGAAAAATGAAAAAAAAAAAAAAAAAAAAAAAAAAAAAGCAATACAAAAAAAAGAAAGTTTAGACTCGAGGAGGAGGCAGTGAATGAAGCTAGGCTCGAACCCAGTGACGATGAAGTGCCCGAGAATCAAATTCGCTTTGAACGAAATATCTTGATAACAGAAATCCAAATGTTTTAGTTTAATTTGTACTTTTTTTTTTTTTATTCAGGCAAAATCTAAAACAAAAAAAAATGATAAACTTCTCGACGTCTTTTAAACTAGAATACATACATTTATTTTAAATTTTGTGCCGGTAAATTCATAGGCAAACCCACACTTGTGTGCACATCTGGTTACACATAGCTTTCTTTTACCAACATATTTTCCCTTCCCCATTCGTATCCCTCCCTTCCTCTTCAATTAATAACTTTTTTGTTTGCTTTCTTTCTCTTCCCTCCCAGCTTTTCAACCGACTCTGGATAAGAGCAGTCAGTGCGAGTGGCCGGCCCTGAGTGAAATTCTTCAACGTTATAGACTGGAAATATATTCATGGCCGCGGACTACAGGCGGGTTTCTTTTCTCCTCTTCATTTCTTTTATTATTGTGTGGGGTTTGATAGTTCTGCCCACGAGTGCCGACCAGGAAACGTGTCTGAAGGATGGTACCTGCAAAACGGAAACCCAAGCCACAGAAGAAAAGTCTAAATACAAAAAAGGTCAGTGTTTTTTTGGTTTTTTTTTTTGTTTGTTTGTTGAATGTAGATTTCGTTGTGTGCGTGGGAAAGTGTCCTGTTTCAGAGGGGATACATACATACATATATATATATATATATATATATACATATATGGTTGGATTGATGTGAGTTTGTAACCTGGGGTTTCACGCTTTTGCGATCGTCAAAGTACCGCGCATAAATAATTATATATATATATATATATATATATATATATACACTTTTCACATATACAGTGTAACCCGGATATAAGAGAGTTGTCGGGACCGGAGAAGAAGTCTCTTATATCCGGGTTTATTTTGTTTAGATGAGTATGGGAACACTTTGGGACCAGAGAAAATCTCTCTTATATCCAGGTCACACTATATATATATATATATATATATATATATATATAATGTATGTCTTTGTTTTAGCACTTTCTCACAAGAGATGAGCTTTTTTCTGTTAATAAACAAATGATAATCACATTTCAACCTACCGCTATCTTTTAATTTAATTTAATTTTTTTTTTTATTTAATAATTAATTTAATTAATTTAATTTTATTTTTAATTTAAATTATTTTAACTTTTCTTGTCTTGGTTGCCACTGGACCAAGAAGTGGAGATGGAAAAATACTACTTAAAAAATTGGAGTAAAATGTCTCTTTCTGTTTGTCATCAACCAAAGTAAACAATAATAATCAAACTTCTATAAATTTTAAAAACCACGTGTTTCTAATTGTTTACATTTCATCATCACCCCCCCCCCTCGTGTACATATACACCTACCTTTTTGCGCCAGTCAGTAAGGCCCGCCAGGGTAATGACATTTTTTTTTTTTACGCTCCCGTGGTGAGCGCATTGGTTTTTCTTATTTTTTTTTTTTCTGTTTCTTTCCAGGACAATTAGTTGGGGTATAAAAAAAAAAAAATCCCGTGTCTATTCAATGGACCATGACAGGAATAAATAAATAAAAATATTTAAACTTCTTTTTAATTTCTCTTGTTTGAAGTTTGTTTGAATGCCAACAAACGATCGATTTGATTTGATCACTTTTATATTGATTACCTTATATTGATCATTTTTTTTTGCTTCAGCTTAAAAAACATCGATATGTGGAATAGAGTTCAATATCGAAATGTCCTGATTTAGTTGGCATTGATTTTCTTTTAATAAATGATGAAGTTGGACAATCAATTGGCACTGCTACAAGAAATAATTTTCTTTTTTCATTGTATAATCAAGATCTGGAGGTACCTACATACAATGTTACATAGGTACCTCCAGATCTTGATTAAAAACAAGCTGTAAAAAAAAACAAGGTTTTTTTTTTGTTTGTTTGTTTTTAATTTCAAATAAGGTGTTGATTGTTGCTGAGTAATTAATCAAAATTTTAGATAAACTATCCGAGGTTCCTATTGTGTTATTGTTTTCTTTCTTTTCTTTTTTTTTAACCATCTCAGTCATTTTCAAGAACCAGTGTGGTATCGGTGCGGTGGTTACATCAATGGTTTCCAACCATTTCTTTAACCAATGTACGCTACAGTAATTTGTTTTGCTTTGACTTAAATTCAATAAACAATTCTGTAAAAACAAAGTAAGATTTCCTGGGCTCCCTGGAAGAGAACCCTTTGGCCACATTTTGGTAATGAAACAAATCACAATTCCAATCCAGTTTTGAACAACGATCTACAACACCTTTTAGTCGTAAATTTAAAAAAATTAAAAATACAATTTAAAAAAAAAAAAATGAAACCAACAGATTTTGGTTCTTTTTCAGATTTGTTTGGTGTTTGGATGAATGTTGGCTGCCTAAGTTTATTTAAACTTTTAAATTTATTTTAAAAGTAAAATAGGCGGACCCAGTTTGCTATAAATTAGTCATCCTAGAAGCTAAAGAAGTTCAGATTACAAATTTCAACTTTTTTTTTTTTCATTTTAAGACATCACGTGGTATGAGCATATTTTGTTTTGTCTTCCGTAGTATGTTCATTATAAACTTTAAAAATTTATAATGAACATACATTTAATCATTAATTTAGAAAACTGGACTTAGCTTTTAAAACCCATTTTTTAATTTTTTTTTTTTTTTTTAATCCGTAATCTAGAGAGTTTACTTACTAGTTATGTATGAAGAAAAGTCTATTTTTTACTTCTCCACCAAAAATAAACGTCCCGGTCGTATTACAATATTTTTTTTTTTTTACCCCGCAACCAAATTCAAAATTTCCCGCGCATTAAAATTTGCAGTCAAGAAAATGTAGGTAATTTTTAAAAAATTGAATTCAAGAACCAATAAAGAAGAAAAATAATAAATCCGTGGTCGTTTGTTGCCAAAAATAATAGTTTTTTTTTTGTTTTTTTTTGAGTCTTTAAATTTTTGACTCCCTGCAAAAATAACCATTTATCATGATTTGTTGGTCGATGCATTGATTTTTTTTTTTTTTTTTTGGTGCAAACGTCCCAGTAACAAAACCCCAAAAATGGTCTCATTCCCTCTGTTGTTGAAACTTTAAACTTGCCACATGCAGGAATCCTAGAATAACGTCAACGGAGACAGGCACCTCGAGGGCTAGATATTGACCCCAGTTTCGAATGACGATGATGGTAAACTTCTGCACCAGATAGAAATATCAACCTGTAATCTTGGGGACCCTACGTGGATAAGTTTCACTGCTCACATATTACTGCAGACATCGGGAAATAACCTGAAACTTGCTTTTTTGTATTTTTTGTCACAAAACCTTTTTGCAGTGGGAGCGGATCTCCAGAAACTAAGTTTTAGTTTCATGACACCAGAGATTAAAAATTTAAAACATTTATTTTTTCCTAGATTGCTATGAATTTGATTTGCTTGATTTTATTATTATTATTATTATTATTTTTTTAGTTAGTGCTTGGGAGTAGCACCTGCTATGAAATGATAACTTTTCTTTTCTTTTTTTAATAAAAATATGCTTTTTCTCATTTACTCGCCTAAACCAAAAAATCCTAATCATATTGATGATGTCACTATCGAATATAGTAATTATTATTTTATTTTTACTTATTTTTTGCATAATACTTGTCAAACATTGATCGTAAATAAAATCACACACTCTAGAAAGATGAATTTCCTAAACTTTATTTCTTAAAATCCTAATAAGGGAAGCGACGAACATTGTATGTATGTATGTATGTATGTATGTATGTATGTATGTGTATATATATATATATAAGAGAGTTGTCGGGACTGGAGAAGAAGTCTCTTATATCCGGGTTTCTCTTATATCCGAGTTACACTTTCTTTTGAATAAAAAAACAGACCACTTTAAGGTTCCATGTGATAAATTATTTCACCACAGCCCTTCTAAAAGGGCTCTAGATCATCAGACTTTATTTCCAAAGGTTGAAATGAAAAACCGGATATCATCCTCCTTTGGGTCTACCCAGACGGATTACCTAGTTTTGCATAAACTCTTATATATATATATATATATATATATATAAATTTCTGTTGGATAACCGATTTTTATTTTTCAATTTATCCTTTTAAAAAATAGAGAATGATGAGATACAACAACCACGGAGGGCTTATGAAATGGTGTTTTTTTTGGGGGGGGAGTTAAATTTAAAACAAATTCAAAATTGTAAATTCGTTTCGAGATTTTTCAATCAAACTTTAGAAAAATATTCCCCGCCTTCTGGATTCCTCAGCACTAAATACTGTGTAGTAAAAAAAAAAAAAATGCTTTATAATAGCATTTTTGGTTCTAACTTTTGAATTTTTTTTTTTTTATTTTCCCTTCATAATCATTGAGAATTTAGTTTTCTTAAACACTCACAACAAAATATTAGAAAATATATTTATTTATTTTTTATGTAGTAAGGATTTAAACTTTTTTCTGAACACCAATATTTGGACGGAATAACAATGTTCTTTCTTTATTCAATTATTCCATTCAAATATTGGCGCGAACAGGAGGAATTTGGTGTATTTATTTAATTTATCATCCCAAATAATTTAGATCTTGTTTTTAACTTTTTATACTATATAATTTATAAGCATACATTTTAAATTAGAAGCTATAAATTTTCTAGTTATGATCCGATTTAAAATTATTTTTAAGTGAATTTATCTAAAAAAAATTAAATGGTATTCTAAAATAAATCTTTTGCAGCGCAAATTTTTCGTCAAAGTGGCAACTAAAACTGAACCAGGTGATAGTATTTTCCGTTTAAAAGTGTTACTGAAAACTTAAATAATTCAGTAAAAAAAATCTCCTAGTACTATTGTGCTAGTTAACTGGGGTTTTTTGGGGGGGGTTACAGTAGTGAGGTAAATCCTGACTGGGTGCCTTTTTTTTGTGTCGGACTAAGCACGTATTAAAACAAATCTACATAATGCAGGCGTTTGCTAAAATTAAGAAGTACTTAAATGTAATTATCAAAATCTGACTGCCTCATAATTTTTCTTCTCTCCAAGGATTGGATGATAAATTTAATTCTTTTGGTTTGAGACTAAAAATTCTTTCTTTTTTTTTCTACATAAAGAAAAATGTAAGGAAATGTTCTTTATTTCAAAAAATAAGGTTTGGTCTAAAAAAAAAAAATCTTAGTGATAGAATCTAGCCATAAAACTTCTTTTTAAAACAAATACTTTATTCCAAATTCCTCCTTTTAACCATTTAAGTGTTAATAACCATTTTATCAGAGACACGCTCATTTTTTTCCTACTATATTAGATCGAATTTCTAACCATAAAGAATTCTAATTAAATTAGTTTTTATAACTTTCTCACTTGTTCCTCAGGAAAGTTTTAAAAGGGGTTCCTTTGTTCTCTAAGACTCCCTTTTGCATCGCGAACAAAGAAACTTTGGAATGCTGACGTGTCATTTTGTGATTGGGCAAAAGACAAATTTGGTGGTGGGAAAAAGTTAGTTCATTCTCCAGGTCATGAAAAATATTGATATTTGATATCTGCTAAAAAAAAAAAGGCAGTTTCTCTGGTATATTGCTT